TATTGAATCAAGTTGGATTGTTTACTAAACAGATTAGTAGAGATATTATCCATGAATGAACTCCACAAAATATAGTTACATATGATACCAATAACCACAACTCCTCTCATATTTTCAAACCACTTACTAACACAAGATCTCTCCTTCAACCAGAGGCAGTGTTTCTGGATTTCAAGAAACAAAAAATTCAAGTAAGTTTTTCTTGGAGGTGTTGCCTAAACCAGGATCTGCTGTATCCACATATGCAATCCATATGATGGTAACATATTTCAGTTGGGAGAGACCCTTTGTTAATTAATACATTTTTTAAGTGCAGTTGATGGAGAATTTTATCCATATCCAGTTACTTTATGGTTTCCATGGTGCTTTGGTTATTTTGTCAGTATGCGTAAGATGTGTATATATATCAATAATCAGTTTCACATTTTTATTGAATAAAAGTACAGTTTCACATTTTTTGTGATTTGTTTCTGGGTTGGATCCTCTTTTCAACCTTCAAACAGGCCCCATATAAAAAGTAGGCACTTTAGTAGTGCAAAAGTTTTTGAAAAGTAGGGGCCTTTAGTAGGGAAAATTTAATTTTGTAGGTGACTTACTGGTGTTGTTATAAAATTACCTACTCTGTCATAGCCATTAAAACATTAAGAAATGCACTGAAATATACATGCCTAATCTGATTTTTTTTTTTTTTTATCAAACCTGAATTTGAAATAATTTTTGGCATAATGTCTGTTAAAAATATCAGGTTAGATATTTCAGGATATGACTGACAGTTTCATACACACTCTGAAACAAACAATAAGCAGTTAAAGCATATGTAAACAATAACCTTGATAAGAAGCACAATTTAACAAAAGCTGATACACATGCTTTAACTTGAAAACTCAACATATATTGAGCTAAAAAAGCATTTGATCATCAATCAGTTATTCTTCACTGGGATGGAGGTGATGTTTATTCTGAAGTAACTTACCAGAAAGCACAGAAAACAATTTGCTCATCTTGCTAAAGAAAGTACCTGTCTTTCATGCCACCAAGAAGCTATAACTTCTGCAATCACCAGATTAAACTTTGGTATCTTAAGTTAATAATGAGGACAGTTAGACTATACTCGAAATATAACTGTGTATTTTTGCAACAAGTTTTGTATTTCATATAGACCTAAACCAAAAATGTAGAAAAAAACGGGAATTTTCCCTAAAAATAAGGGAAAGGTATAAAAGCCTCCAAAAAGTAGTACATTTTGAGAGGCCTGTCTTTTTATTTTAGTAAGCTATCTGAAATTGATTTTAATGTCTTCACTTTTTTTTATCTGTGTATAATGAATTTTTTTACAGAGTCAAAATCATCAGAAAGTCAGCAAATCAAAGAATTTACTTCTAATCTTTGTTCAATGTTAGGGTGTTGGTTGCTTCTTATCTGTAAGGGTGAAATACTTTCTAGAAGTGGTGTGTGTATCCTGCTCAAATAATATTGTCACACTCTGTCCTTTTCACAGAAATCTGATAGTTGTATAGTATTTCATTGAGGATCTAAAGGAGTGCAATTAGTGGCTTTATTGAGAAATTGGGGAAGCAGGAAGGGAGATCGGTTTTCCCAGTCCAACGAAGTCAGAATATTTGTCAAGTAGTAAAAATTCACTAAAGACCAGATAACAAACCCACCCTCACACAACCAACGTTATAAAAAGGTGTACTACAAGATGAGGAAACTCCAAGCACACTAAAGTGTACTACAAGATGAGGGAGACCCAAGCACACTAAAGTGTACTACAAGATGAGGGAACCCCAAGCACACTAAGGTGTACTACAAGATGAGGGAACCCCAAGCACACTAAGGTGTACTACAAGATGAGGGAACCCCAAGCACACTAAGGTGTACTACAAAATGAGGGAACCCCAAGCATACTAAGGTGT